TTGCCGATCAAAACCATCGGTTTCACAAGTGGGATGCCAATTATGCGGCGGAGCTGCCGCTGATTCACGAGAAGGGCGTCTGGACGATTTTGGATCCGTTGGAGGATGAAGTGTTGAGGCCTCTCGGGTGGGTGACGTTTCCGGAGACACCCGATCGCAACCCGAATGAGCCGCTGGTTCTACACGAGTCGCTTCACTTCAAACGGGGGGAAGTGCCAACGCTGCGTCGTCTGACATTTACACCAAATTCGCGGGAAAAGGATTGGCTGGATCTCACGAATGAAGCCGAGGCGTACTTCGCAAGTGTCTGTGGTATTGATGTGAAGAATCCGAAAGTGGAAAAAGCCAGTTACTATCAGATGAACCGGGAACTTTATTTGGACTGCACCAAATACGGCAATCAACTTCATCAAATGTTTTTGGAGGCCACCAAGTTCGTTATTGGAAGTGACGAACAGCTAAGGGTTTTTCGTATTCCAGAGGAGTACTGGCCGCGTCTCCGACATTCATGGGAGACACAACCGCATGCCATCACGGGACGCTTTGATTTTGCCTTTGATGAGGATACGCAGCAATTTAAGTGCTTTGAGTACAATGCTGATAGTGCCTCAACACTGCTGGAGTGCGGAGTTATTCAACAAAAATGGGCGAGATCGGTTGGTCTCGATGACGGGACGACGTACAGCTGTGGGAGTTTGATTTCCTCACGACTGCAATTGGCATGGGAAATGGCAGAAGTCACCGGGCGTGTACACTTCCTTATCGACAAGGATGATGAGGAGTATTACACCGCCTTGTATGTTATGCAGCACGCTTCTGCGGCAGGATTGGAGACAAAACTTTGCGTTCTTTTCGATGAATTTCATTTTGATGAGAATGGCGTCGTTGTGGACTCCGATGGCGTCGCCGTCACAACGGTGTGGAAGACATGGATGTGGGAAACTGCCATTGCGGATCATCAGAAGGCCCGGGTGCAGCGCGGGAATGATTGGCGGCCAACGCCAAAGGATGAGGTTCGGCTTTGTGACATTCTTCTTGGGCCGAACTGGGACTTGCGTGTGTTTGAGCCCATGTGGAAAATTATTCCCAGCAACAAGGCTATCCTGCCCATTATTTACAACAAGCACCCAGACCATCCAGCGTTGCTGCGGGCCAGCTATGAACTCACGGTTGAGCTGCAGCGCACCGGTTACGTGAAGAAGCCCATCGTTGGTCGTGTCGGTCGAAATGTCACCGTCACAGAGGCGTCTGGTGACATTGCCGCGAAATCGGATGGAAATTTTTCGGACCGCGACATGGTCTACCAAGAGCTTTTTCGCCTGCCCGAGAGGGATGGCTACTACGCCATACTCGGCGGCTGGGTGATTGGCGATGTCTACTGCGGCACTGGTGTCCGCGAGGACAAGACAATCATTACGGGACTCGAGTCACCATTCATCGCCCTTCGAGTGTATCAGGGCGCCCCACGACGTCCACTGACCCACGAAGATCTCGACAAGGCGGAAGCCGCGGCCGTCGGTGGTGGCTTGAAAACGTGAGAATGAAAGGTGGGGGAAGAGTACCAGACGCCCCTCTCACCAAGCCGATTCACCAGCAAATTGGCGAAGAGAAACACGGTTCTTTGAGGGGTTCCATAATTAATACGTTATATTTTACAAAATATAAATACAATTTTGTGCATCCTCGCAAAAGGAGAAAGACGAGTGATTCGGTCTCTATCTCTGGTATCCATATCATCGCACGTACCTCTACTAAGTATCCCTTGTGCACGTGCGTAAATGCTTCTTTTATGTATCTTCAAAAAATACAGACCCGAAAAAAAAAATGACGGAGTGTCTCCTCCCCCTCCTCCAACGGAGAAAAACAATAATGATAATGTTATGGATAACATACCACTGAACAATTAACCCCAAGGCAACGTACAGGGGTGACGGTTGCGTACGCATCGGGAATACACCATTAAACCAGACTGAAGAAAGGAAATGAAAGCGTAGATAAAAAAATTTCTATATCTATCTATCTATCTATCTATATATGTATAAACATGTGTATCTTAAAATGTAATTCTATACCTGTTGATTTCCTTAACTATTCTTTTTCAATTATTTTATTTCATTTTCTTTTTCCTTGTATTTTTAAAAATAAGTTTGGTGGCCCCGCACGCTTTACGGTAGCACGTGTCCCAGCAAGACGCGGCTGGTCGATGCCGTCAGCCCTGCGCCAACAATCCCGTGAGGGAATCATTGCTGGCTCCTGGCTTCCCCCGACAATACGGAGCAATTGACACTGGCGCCACACTGAGGCATCCGGCGGTATTGTCAGAGGAGCACTCTCCAGTTGGGCTTTTTGCTTTGTCCTGGAGGACCCCGGGCCGTGTCTCACCCACTCCGCCCACACGAACGGGTGGTTTGGAGATGACTGAGTGTGGTTCCCCTGTCCGAGAGGCCTGGCAATTGACCGTGATACAATTGTTGCCAACTTCCGCATGTATTTTCCACCGTCGCGGTCTCCGGGTCAGGCGCTTTGCCCCCTGCAGGAATGCCGCTGGGATTGTGGGGTACTTCACTATGCGTTGGCAGCACGGCAGCGACCACATCACGGTGCCGTACAGGCCTAAATCCGGAGCACTGCACTGCAGAATGGTTGACTTTTGTCCCTTTGAAGAATCGCACCGGCGTCCTTTGTGGTGGGTCCCTGGCACAACGATTGAGAAGGTCAACGATGAAAAAACTGGGATGAGGCAATGTCTTTTTCCCTCATGTCTTCTGGAATGAATTTGATGGCCCGCACGCCAGCCACCATAAGTGCGCCCATACGAAAGAAGAAAGATGCTGTACGGCGAGGGGAATAATCCCACAGCAAAAACAAAAAATACAAAAAAAAATGCATGTGACATCGGGGAGGATGAATACTTTTAATAAATGCATGAAGTGGGGAGGGGTAGAGTGCCAAGCACAGACACACACGCATGATCCCTTTTTTTTTTTCTTTGGCTTATTTTGAACCTTACTGGGTTGACGCAACGATTGAGTGCTTGGGGACGGTGGCGACACCGTTAAAGAGAGAGAGAAAGAGAGGGAGTAAAGAGGGGCGCACCGTGTCAGCAGCCCACACACGCGCACACACAAACACATAGATACGGAGGGATGCTAGGGAATAATGCCACCCATCATGCGGAGGCCCTTTTTGCGCAGTTGGAGCGCGGATCGCGGAATCCCGTGCGGCTCTATCGTCATCTTCTGCAACGCGCCGTCGCGCAGCTTGACGTTGTCGCGGCTGACGCGGAAACACTGCGTGCGACTGTCCGTCTCTTGCAAAAGCAGCGGGGTCAGCAGAAGAAATGCATTTCCCATCTTCAGCGACAACTGATGAATACGCAGGAGGAACGTGGGAGGGCCGCTTCCAGGCACTGCAGAACGGGAAACACGAAGAACGGACACACCCATACAACGCCGTTGTTGTCAACATCATCACTTTCATCGCCGTCGTTATATTGTGTTTATGGAGGGCACCTGCAACCAAGACGCCAGAAACAACAGGGGCAGCGGGAGCAGTGCAGCTGTGGGAGGCACTCCACATTGCGAGAGTTGCGCGGCAATGGGAAGAAGCGTCACACGTCACACTCCGCCGTTGAACGCACGAGAAATACTTGCAGGAGTTTGTTACACTCGCCGCGCCCAACATCTTTGGAAGGGACGGCGCCGTTGTCCCCATCGCAACAGTATGATGGGAAGGTCCCGTGGCGGACGGTGGGGAATGACGGGGCGTTGATTGAACGGGTGCTGGGCGATGTGTTGCTGCTTTTACTGGACGATGAAGTACCGAAGAATGCCGATGCCGATAGGACTGCAGGTGGGCCCGGTCGTCTGTTGCTGGGGAACGCCAAAACAATGTATGACACAGTTATTTCATCTATTCGGATCTTGAAGAAACGCGAGGGCGCGTTAAAATGTCATTTGTGGGAGTTGGAAGAAACGCTACGGCGAGACAAGAAGTTGCGATTGCAACCCAATCTTGCAGAGAAGCAGAACGCCTCATTTGGGGTGCTTCCAAGTGGACATGATTCTCAGAACATTGGGAATAATAATAATAATAATAATATTATTATTGGAGATGATGATGATGATGATTACTCTTGTCGTCAGGATGCTTCTATGATGAATGCTGCGCCGCCAGCTTACATGGATGGCGTTATGGACTCTCAGCACACTGCGACGCATCCCATTAATTTCTCTTCTCTGTTTCCTGTGGGCCGCGTTGACTCTAAATCCAGCGATACCACCACTCGTGTCACCAATGCATGTATGTATTCATCAGCAGCTGCGGACAACATTTCACATAAAACACAAACCAACTTTTTTCAAAAATATGAGAAGGAAAAGGACGGCGATGATGATGACGGCGACCGTCTGGATGATTTGGCGGGTGAAGAGGAGCTGTTGGAGTATGCCAAGTGGAAGGACTCGTTTCTACGACAGTATCTTCCGTCACAATAGCCTGGCATTTTGCACAATTGTATTATCCAAATTATTATTATTTTTTTTTTTTGCTCTCTGTGTGTGTATGCATGTGTATTCTCATCAAAATGTCGTTAAGAACGTGAGGAAAAAATTTTGAGGAGAAGGAGGAGGAGGTGGTGGTGGTTGTGAAGACAGACATATTGTTTGTTTACATTTCTTTTGTTTTTATTTATGTGCGGTCTTATTTGCCTCTTTTTCTTCTTCTTCTTTTTTTTTCTTTTTTCAAATTCTCTCCCACAATGTGTGATGTTTATTGAATAGCCAGCAAGGACGGAACAAAGAGCTTCCACCGTCTTTTGTGTGTCTTGTCGTAATTTCCTGTTAAAAATCCTTTTTTTTTTGTCAGGCGTCATTTTTTGTCTTCAGGGAACATCATCGAGGCATCGGGAGGAAGGAGGAGGCGGAGGCTGAGAATTGAAAAGCAAAAAAAAAAAAAAAAAAAGGGGGTGGAAAAGAGAGAGAGAAGGAGAGAGGGGGACAATGGCAGCCGCGGCAGCCACGCTTTTTCAGCGCAACAAGCGCATCTATGTACAGGAGGAGGACAAGCTGGAGGGGGTTGTCTCCGATGAGTCGTTTCAGCAGAAGTTCCTCCAGTGGCTGGACGCGACGATTGCCCAGTTGGATCTCCAGTTTGAGTCGTGCGAGCAGCTGCTGTCGGAGCTGCAGCAGAGCGTTGCCGTGGAGTCCGGCAGCTACTGGTGCAGCAAGACCATCATTCAGCACTGCAATCTACACATGAGTGAGAAGCGGCTTATTGTCGCCGGGAAGAATATGGAGCAGCACCCTACTCTCCCCGAGCTTGTCAGCCTCATATCCTCCTTGCAGCAGCTTAAGGTTCAGGCCTTTATTTCCCCAAAGCAAAGACGCTTTATTGAGGAGTGTGAGAGCGAGCTGAAGAATGTTGTGTTTGAATCCCGTGAGTTACTTTTCATTAATAACGCGCTCAAGACAAAACTTCGCGATGACGGCAACACACGTGGGGTGTTTGGGGACCTCACGGAGTTTCAAAACGCCATTGAGGACCTCTCACCGGACATCGACCAGTGCGAGCAGCTGCTGGAGGCGAGTATTGCAAATGGTGAAATGGGACTCGCAGAGGACATCTCACGTCGTCAGCTGGAGATCTATGAGCGTATCTTGACTCTCATTACGGATCAGTACCCCATCATCACAAATTATTATACCGATTCGCGCGACAGCGATCGTCGTCGTCGTTGGGCCATTTTTCGTATGGCTGACAAGGACATCTCTGCTGTCATTGAGGGGAAGTATCGGCAAATAGAGGCATGCGAGGAGGACCTTATGAAGATTAAGGAACAGATTGAGAACTACAACAACGATGACTCCCATCAACGGAAACGGTATGAGGCGGATCGCAACCTCTCCGAAGAATTCCTGCAGAAAAACAAAGAGAAGCAGCAGAGTGTGTGGAATCGGATCTTTGAACTTTATGAGGAACTACGTCGGTGTCAGACGGAGTTGACAACACTCGCCCGGCAGCGTCGAAGGGAGATTGATCGCCGGCTGCAGATGGAGGAGCATGAGGCCGGGCGACGCAGTGGACATGAGTCTTTTATCAAGGCTGCCGCGGAACATGCACAGAGACTCCAAGGCATGATTAACAACTCCTTGGCGGCCAAAGAACTTGCCACGGCGCTTAATAATTTTGTATTAGACGGGTGCGACAGCATCACTAGCAAATACGACAAGCAGCAGAATGCATTGAGTGAGATGTTACGTCTTGTGCAGCAGCATCATTTTAAACGCTTCTCTGACTACTACATTGCGGCCAGTCGCTACCTTTATCGTAAGGAGAGACGGTTGGAGCAGATTGAAAAGGAGATTGAGAGCAACGAGATGAAGAAGGAGATGCTCTCAGACCGACTTGAGACAAATGCCAAGCGATACGCTGAGTTGAATAACAATCTCCTACTTAAGCGACGTGAGGTGTCGCAGGAGGTGCTGTTTATTCGACACAAGTTAGAAAAGGCAGAGAAGGCGATTGAGCCCACATTACGTTCACTGCAGTTTGCTGCAGTGGAATATGTTCACCCACGCGATATCGTGGAGAAGATTAACCTAAATCGCTGCAGTACAATTCTTGACTATCGCGAATTTATGACTCCTTCCATATCATACGATGAAAAGGTCCGAATGGAGGAGTTGATGAAATTAGCCGAACTTCGCTCCACCATTGACAGCGAAAATAAGGAGCGTTTAGCCCAACAACAACTACGACTCCCTTCCATTGCAAAGAAAGATTACACGGCACTTCAGAGACGTGTGAACTCATTATTACAGAAACGATCCGATGAGGTTGAACGCATTCCGCCGATTGCGGCAACCACTTCGCATGATGCTGCTGTTTCCGCTTATGCAGGGGCACAAAGCACAACGAGGACGTCTGCAACGGGGTTCACTACATCAGAAATAGCGCGAGGGTCATCGCTTGCGGCTGCATGGGATACGACTGGTGGGACTCTTACCATTAACGCTTCATTACGGCAGCCGCGGTTGGAAGGAACCGTCATGAGGGCTTTGTACGCATACAAGGCTCGTGCACCAGACGAGTTAACCTTTGGAGAAGGGGATTTGATTGTGTGTGTAAACCGAGCCCAGGAGGAGGGCTGGTTTAAGGGTGTATGCAACCAACGTACAGGGCTATTTCCCATCAACTACGTTGTGCCGCACGAGGAGGCTCTTTAGTCGTGTGTGAGACAAACTCTTTTTTTTTTTTTTTTGTCTTCTCCCCCTCTTTTTGCCTTTGCTTCTGTGTATTCTTTGGTCTTTCATCCCTCTGGGGTGCTTTCGTCTAGTTTTTGTGACCGCCGTCAATATCTTTTTTTTTTACCCAACGAACGGGTTTTTCTTTATTGTTCTTTCCATGCGCTGTTATTGTACTTGTCGCATTATTTTATCCACTTGGACGTGTATGCATGCCGCGTGTATTGGGGAAGAATAAATGAAGGGAATGGGCGGTGAAAGCAACGAAGAAAAGGAAAAAGAACGTGACGGGAGTGGTAAGAACACGAAGTAAAAAAAAAAAATTTATTTATGCACACACACACACACACACACACACCGAGAGAGAGAGAGAGAGAGTGAGAGAGAGAGACAAGAAGGAAAAAAGACACGAATACATCCTTTCTTCTTATGGAAATGGGGGAAAATAAGCAACAACAACAACAACAGCAACAATAAAAAACAAACAAACAGAATTCCCGAGAAGGATGGTGGTATCTATGTCTGCACAGGTAATGGTCACAGATGTATGTACATAGGGAATTCTGCGTGCTGCATGGACCTTGTGTGTGTGTGTGTGTGTGTGTGTGTGTGTGTGCTGCAAAGATTTGAGGGTGTGGGGAAACGCCTGTGTGTGCGATGGGCCATTCATGTGTCTTCCTATGCGTGTGTATGTATGCATGCGCTGGATGGATGTGAAGAATGAAAAGGGCAAAAGAAAAAAAGGGGTGGGGTGAGGGGCACAACAACTTTTGTCGCATGTAATTTAGAAGAGGAGATTATATATATATATATATATATGTTTTTACTGAAAGGAAACATTTGCGTCTCATCCTCTGCAGATGTATCTAATGACGTCTTTCATTGGAAGTTCTCGAACCCCTATTTTTTTTTTTTTTTTTTTTTTCCTTTCTTTTCACTTTCTTTTTTAGCTGCACTGAAGATATCATTTCTTTGCCTCTCTCTCTTTCTTTCCTTTTCTCTCTTTCTTCTTTGTGCGTGTGTCTTTTTGGTTGGTTGGTCCCTGCACCACACATACACACATACAAAGAGTGTGCATTAGGAGAGGGAAAGTTCAATTATTTTGTGAAAAATCAGGAGGAAGAGAGGGGACCGCCAGCCAATACAAATTATAAGAGCAGCAACCACAAGAAGGAAAAAAGAAACAAAAAGAAAAGGAAATTTTTTTTTTTTCTTTGGTTTTTGATTGGTGAGAAGAATTTTTATTTTATTTTATTTTTTTGAAAAAAAATATTTCCCTGTGTGTGTCTTTCTCTCTCTTTTTTTTTTTTTTTTGTGTGTGTGTGTGTGTGTGTGTTTGTGTGGGCGTTGATTGTTATTATTATTATTTATTATTATTATTTTTATTTTTTTTTTCTGCGTGTGGCGGCTTCAATTAGAGAAGCGGGGGGGAGGGAAAAAAGGCAGAGTTGGCTGGCTGTAAATATGGGGAATGTCGCTTGCACGGATGCTGTGCCCTTCACACTGGAGGAAATTCTGCTCTCACGCCAGGCGGCCCCGGCACGTCTTATGGAGTTGCTACCGGAGACCGTCATTGAGAACTTCACGCGGTACCAGCACAACTTGAAGGCGTTCATGTTTCGTCAGGGCGCAGCAACAGGCGATGCCGTGAAACGGATGGATTCTTCGCAGGTTTATTTACAGCCGTTGGACCTTGCACAGGCAAAAATTAAGTTGACGGAATCCGCGGTGTATGTGCTATTGCATGTGCAGTGCACACCACCCGCGGCGAGTGACTCGAATTGTCATGATACCGTTGGCACGCGAGGTGGGGAGCGGCCCCATAGGGAGTCGGATGGAATCCAATGCAGCAATGAAGAGACACTTTTGTGGGCACGTGTACTTACGGATATGTTTACACCAAGAGGTCGTGCAACGGCGTTCGCGACAAATATTGACAAGCCTTCATTTTCTGCTTCACCATCGACTGGCTTGGAAAATGCTGGTGTGGGTGCCGGTGATAATTCGTATGGTTTTACCGCGTCTTCAGGCATGGGTGGATTGGACTTTCGCTTTAGCGTTCATATTCTTACTGGAAACAAGGCGGATCAACTGGTGGCATCTGTTGCGTTGCTTCACGCATTACGTATTGAACAGTCTCTTATGGAGAGTGATGAGGTGGTCCGGCGCTTATTTTTTAACTACAAGCCCTCGCAGGGGATGTCGGATGCAAAATTAGCTTCCCTCTCATGTATGCCTATTGGAGAGATTGTGGGCGATCGTTCCTTTTCACACCGTAGTCCACGCATCATGGAGGAGTGCCCGAAGAATGCCATTTTTCGCATTTTGCATAATATTCGATGTAAGACATCGTTTCCGACGATTTTGCCGACACCGTTTTCTGCGCGCGGGAATCTGTCACGTGACAGCACACCACGTGGGATGTTCAACACCACCGCCACGAACAACTCCTCTTCCATTTACCAGCAGGCAACTATGCAATCTCGGGCCGGTGTTGCGTCTCCATCCAGCGCGCAGGGACCTCCTGTATTGGAGATACCCCGCCTACGTTTTGCGGCAGAAGCGGCACGGCAGAGGGCGGTGGATATGCCGCTGAATGCCCCGCGACAGTCCACTGCACAAACACCACGGTTGACGCAACTCGAGGGAGCCTCATCGGTATCGAATGCCACCTCCACCCGGACAACGACTGCCACCGTAGGCTCGACGTTATTGCCCGTCATTGCCAATTTACACCTAAACGAAACACTGAATAGGCGGTGCGCCACAGAGTTGAGTCTTGAGAATGATGAGATTCGCATGACAGAGGAGCGGGTGAAGAAGTTGAGGGCTGCGGCACCGGAGGCCACCGAGGTACTCCCATGGCTATTTGTGGGCGGTGAGGAGGCCGCAGGAGACCGCAACCAACTTTTAGCAAAAGGCATTACCAATGTTGTAAACACCGTTGCTTTTTCTATGGGAAATCTCCATAGTGATATCTTTCGGTATCTAGGACTTTATCTAAGCGACTCCCCGGATGAACCTATTTTCTCACTTTTTCCCGTTGTTATCCGCTTTGTTGAGGAAGCACGGTTAAAGGGGGGAAAGACATTTATTCATTGCCACCAGGGTGTATCCCGTTCTTGTTCATTTGTCATTGCCTACGTCATGTGGCACCAGGGTATTTGCTATGACAGGGCATTTGAATTTGTTCGTTCAAAACGTCAAGTGTGTAGCCCAAACACCGGATTTTACGTGAATTTGCTGTTATGGGAGAATCAGTTGTCCACTCCTGTCTTTAACAAGATATATGCATATGTCCCGTACATGGAGTACCTTTTTCCCTTCTCATTCCGTCTTGCATTGGCGTTCCGTGGGTCCCAGAGGAGCCAAGATGACGACTCACAGATCGTCAATCCGTTTGTGCATGTTGTTCACGGAACCGATGAGAGCTACACGGTGGACCCAAGACTGAGTTATGGTATCCTACTGGGAGACCGCGGCTCACGGAGTGAAGATCGTGCGATGCCAATAAAATCGTACTTCTTTGCTGGCTCGGACTGCGACGCGATCGTATGGCAGGAAGCCAGACTGGACTGGGACGCCTTCATTAAGTACAGCTTTTACCAAGGACAGAAGAAGCGAAGTACAAATAACAAGGGAGAAGTGATCACGTTTACCCCTATGCCACCGGCTGAGCAGCCAACGCAGTGCTTGTGGGAATTGAGGGATTTGGGTCGTGTCATTAACGAAGGCGTATTTAGTCAAACGCGTCGGGCATCCGGTGGGACTCGATATCCAAATGTGGTGCAGGGACAGGTGCAGTGCTGGAACAAATTGCTTGCCCGTGATGATTTGGTTTTTCGACTTTCCACTTATCTTGCGGAGGAACAACGTGTAAATTTAACGTCTCAAAGCCGTAAGCGCATGCGAGAGGAGGAACGAAGACGTCTCTCCAAATTAGTATCTTCTGCTAGCACACCACGGTTGTCGTCATATAAAGGTGGTAGTGGCAGGAATAATGCCGGGACAAGTTCTGTTGTTGTGAATGCTGCTAACCCCACCAATACCACAAATAATACCCCCCTCACTGCTCATACGAGTTTTTCAATAGCTGCACCTTCCTCACGTGTCGCTGCCGCCAACACTGCGGCGATGGATTTGCTGCCATTGGTGCAGCCGTTACCTACACCGCCGTTGGTAACACCAGCAACAACAACAACAAAGTCGGCTGCTGCAAGTGCGAAGACTTCATTGCCACGCAAGACGAAATCCTCAATACCGTCGACAGCGCGTTCCAACTCCTTGGGAGGTGAAGTGGAGATATACGCCTATCCTTTTACCGGTCCTCCGCTTACGGACATATTAGACGTTGCAGACATGGAGCCGGATGGTTGCTACGCGGTTGTGGTTCCTGCCACCGCCGCCGCCGCCACGACGTCATGGCGTCATCGTGTGTTTTTGTGGCTTGGGCGCAGTTGCAGCGTTGGGGAGGCAGAGGCGTGGCAGACTTACCGGCGATCACTAAAGATCGACAAGGATGTTCGTCTGTGGAATAAGACTTTGCTGCAGAGTCCTTTGGAAGAGGTGGCGCATGATGGTGAGGAGCCGGACGACCTCATCCTTGCGCTCGAATGAGACGTGCAGCCAAGGCAACAAGCCAGTATGCATAGTATATGCTAAAGGATATATGGATTGATGGAAATATCAACAACGAAAAGGAAACAACAGGAGGAGGAGGGAGGGAAGGAGAGAGAGAGAGAAAGAAAGGGACCGTCCACGCTTTCTTCAGACCAGCACAACATTCACGCTAAGGGAGAATTAGATAACAATATCTGCACCTTTATTTATAAAAGTGACATGCATCAATATATAATTTTACGCGGTCAGCGGTGAGTGAGTGTGTGTGTGTGTGTGTGTGTGTGTGAGTGGGCGGCTGTGGGAGGGATGCGTGCAGTTGCGCACAACAACAAGAAGAAGAAAAGAGGCTTAGAGGAGTAAAATGAATTCGAGGACGTGAAATTGGGAGAGGAGAGAGCGCTACACAGGACTTGAAAACTGGTGGTGGTGGTGGTGTTGTCTGCTGTATGTGCAGAGAGAGAGAGAGAAATGAAAAAAAGAAGGAAGAAAGAAAAACAGCAACAAAAACAGGATAAAAGTGCTTACGACAAACAGGAAAGAGGGATGATGGACGATGACAGACAACGTCGACCTTTTTTTTTTTTTTTTTTTTTTTGTTATATCCATTTTCTCATTGTTTGCATTCTATTTTTGCTTTTTTTTTTTTTTTTTTTATATGTAATTTTCTTTTCTTTTGATTTTTCCTGTTGTGTGTGCATGCGTTTAAAGCTCAGATGCCGGTGTGTGTGTGTGTGTGTGTGGCGAAGCGGTAGCGTTTAGCGCATCTGCCGTGTTGTGTGCATGCATGCGTGTAATACATGAGGTATGTTCTTTACACCCTCGTTTACTTTCTATTTTTTTTTTTTTTTTTTCCCTGTCTTTGTGTATACTTTTTTTTTCCCTCTCCTGTCATCGCCACCACGATGCTGGATGTGATGCACACACATACATACATGCAAAAACAAAAGAATAGAGTGAGCGAGACACACGCAGAGAGAGGCCTTGGACGTGGTTGCGTTATGCTCCATGCGTGCCTGCTCCTCTTGCGACGCCGCGGTGCCGGCATTATTGGTCTCCCAAATGTTGGGAAGTCTACACTCTTCAACGCCCTCACTTGCAGTCAACAGGCGAAAACGGGCAACTTCCCATTCTGCACGATTAACGCAAACCTGGCGAGGGTGCCAGTTGTGGACGATCGACTCCGCCGACTCGCCGCCTTCGCAGGGGCGCAGAGGATTGTGGATGTGGAAATTGATCTCGCGGACGTCGCCGGTCTCATTGAGGGCGCTTCCAAAGGGGCCGGTCTTGGAAACAAATTTCTTGCCGACATTCGACCATGCACAATTCTGCTGCATATGGTGCGCTGCTTTGAGAGTGCCAAGGACGGCTTTGACGCCCCAACACCGCTGGATGACATCAGCATCATTGTGAATGAGCTTGTGCTTGCCGACCTGGAGGCGATGGAGAAGTTACTCCACAAAAACCGTAAAACACGAAGGGCGGGTGATGCGGCGTTGGAATTTTGTCAACGTGTTGTGTCGTGGCTGCAGGACGGCATGCCTGTCTCATACATGAAGCTGAAAACAGAGGAGGAACGGCAGTGGCTGCAGCAGTATCAGTTGCTCTCTGCGAAACCAATGCTGTTTGTGCTCAATATGGATGAAGCAAGTGTGGTGACGGGAAACAAATTTGCTGCGGAAGTCGAAGAGAAATTTGGTACCGAACGAACATGTCGTGTGTCCGCTTCTTTGGAAGAGCAAACCTCTCAGTTGGCCTCGCGGGACGAACGGCTGATGTTCCTGCAGGAGTATGGTATTGACTTGCCGCGGGGTGAAGTGTTGCTGCGAAATGCGTACCGCCTGTTGCGACTGCAGTCTTTTTTTACGGTAGGACCACTCATGGCGCACGGGTGGACCACCAAAGTAGGCGCCACGGCAAAGGAGGCAAGTGGGGAGATTCACTCGGACATGGAGAAGTACTTTCGGCGCGCCAGGGTGATGCCGTACAGTGAATTTTTGTCCAAACCGAACCTTGAAGCGGCGGAGATGCAAATGGCGTTTGTGGACGCCAAACACATCATGAAGGATGGCGATGTCATGATTGTTGAGCATAACACACCAATTTAGCAGTCCCATGGCGCACGCAAATACAGATTTACAGTCACATTGACATCAAATTTTTCAAACGAAGAAGAAAAGTTTTGCGGCATCGACCGATTTCCATCAAAAGAAAGGAAGACAAATAGATGGAAAAGCAATATTTTTTTTTTGTTTTTTTAAATGTGTTTCTTTGTTTCTTTTGTTGGACATTGCGAGGAAGCACGCATGGAGGAGGAATAGCGCTTCACGGCCCTTCTTTTCTCTCCTCCACGCGTGTTGCAACGGAGTGTTCGCGGTATTTTTATTGTGACCCACGAGGAGTCCACCGCCCACTTGCGGCATGGACGGCGACGGGGGCAAAAGTGCGGGGTGGCCGGTGGGTGGCGTACACCCGCAGGGAATGGGGGCGAGGCGCCCATCAAAATAAACAACAGCAACAACACGTTGAGCGTTTTACTTTTTTTCACCTTTCTTTCTTTCTGCTGTTTCTTGCGCGCACACACACCTGCCGGGGAGGAAGAAGGCAGCTAGGAGAATTAAGTCATTTTTTTGCTCCGTGGATCGGGCAGGAGAAGAGTACCTACGAAGGAAAGGACGGGAGGGCGGCCACAGCACCGCCGCCACACACGGACAGAGAGGCAAACAAGCAAAGGCGAAGTTAGCTGAAAGCGCCGCTTGCGGAACGCCGAGACGAGCGGGAGTGAAGACAGAACAGAGGGGGAGAAGGAAACGACAGAGAAAAGAGGCACAGGAGAGGGGGTGGGGGTGGAGCGAGGACACCTCGTGGAGAAGACACGAGTGTCATCAGCAAGCAGTCAGACCGAAGGGGACCAGCGGCTTGGGGGATCAACTGCCAATGTTTAATGCGAACGATGCCCGTCGTTACCCGGGCTTCTTCACGAGAACGTGGACCCCGCCGCCTGATGGCTTTTCTCTCAGGAATGCACGAAGTCGACGTTCGGGTGGTGCCACCTTTGCCCACGCAACGCCCCCGCCGTTGACGCCGCGCCTCGCCACTCCAATAGGCGTGAGGGGCCTTGCAGCGACCGACAACTTGGGGCGTCTTGGACTCTCACAGGCGTTGCCGGAAGATGTGTCTGGCAGCCGTGCGCTTGTGGGTATGTCTCGCGAGGAACCCGACATCTCACCACACATCAGCACCCTCGACGTCAGTGGCTCGGGTAGGTTCACGTCCACGCATGCCAGCCGTCATGGTTGGGAGGATATGCCACAGGGGGAGAGAATGAATTATGCCGCTCGTCTTGAAGATGATGTGGC